CCCCCCCCCCCCCACACACACACTTTAAGGAATCTCACATTGAGCATAAACACTTAGGCACCCACAATTACTCATCACTTTTAAAAATCTTGGGCCTTACTGTTTAGTTCTGTTAAGTGATTTTCTATGTAGTTTTACATTAAAAACTGACCAAATTGAAATCCCATTTGATGCCTGACATTACCAGTTGTGGAATACACTGAACTACGCTTCACTTCTGCTCTTTTGTCAAAATTCAAACTAAATTTCAATTTAACCTTCAAGTAAATGTGCTAAATTGATATTGGAGCATAAAAATTATAGATTAGAAAAGCTGATCTCAATGCTCAGAAAAGCTTCTCCATCTCAGATTTTTTCCCCCAATTCATGACATGGCTGTATCCTGATATCTGACCTCTAACGTCCCTAACTGAATAGTCATGTAACTGTATGAAATCTTAGCAGTTACATGACTTTTCAACAGACCCCAGGGACAGGGCTGACAGCCTGTACGCTCCGGCCCTGCTCCTGGGGAGCCCCACCGCCACCTCGCACTGCTACCTCTGATGTAGGATTGGCAAAAGCCCTGTCCGCAGAGGTCGGTGCTCCCCATTGACAGGGGTGTGGGGGTGGAAGGCTGCAAAGCATTCTCAGTCCATGACAGCCTGGGCTGGCTGCAGACAGAGGCTAGTCCGGCAACAGCCCCTATTCGCCAGGGTCCAAGCTCCTCCTGGACAGACACTGATCTGCTGCAGATGGAGGGAGCTCAGACACTCTGTGGTAAGAGGCTGCTTTGCAGCAACCTCCCCTGTCCCCTGCCCCTCCCTCTGATAGAGGCAGACACGTGGAGGGAGGGGGACTGGCACCACAGAGATGGTGTAGGGGGAAAAACCGGCTTTTAAACTGGTTCCCCCTCATCTACAGAGGCAGCAGGGTGGTGAGGGAAATGTGTGTAGTCAACAAGATTAACTGATAAACCTAGACTTAGCGGCTAATCATACAGTCAACTACATGTTGACATCCCTACATCCTGAACAGTTGCCTATGCTACATACAGATTATGTGCCATATAATCCATATAATGGAGTGTTTTACCTGGAACTGTCAGAATAGGTGAACAACTCCTTCCAGAACTAGTGAAGACTCTGTTCAATTAATAAAGAATCTGGGATACACTCAAATAGTGTGATAAACTGCTTTTATCTTCCCATAAATTTGAATGCTGTCTCCACAAATCTCCTACCTGCAGATAAACAGCAGGCTTCTGATAGCCCGGCCCCGAAACTATGTAATTCAAGCGCTATACATACCATCCTACCTATTTGTTTCCCAGTTAACATTCATTATTTAACCATTTACAATATATAGTACTTTAAGAAGAAACATGAAATGTACAAACCTTGGTTAAACATTCTTTACAGTAGTGAGAGCCCTTTAAACAGACCGAAGGTGCCACATTTAGGTGCAAAGAATTGGTGCATACACGTGATGTTAGCTCCGATTGTGTAACACGCTCCTCCAAGTGCCCCGTAGCCCCACTTGTAAATTCGGAACAGGGAAAATAGCCAGAAGATGTGCAGCTCTGAAGGGCCGGAAATTGATGGAGTTTGTGTGCACTACCATGACAAGACTGGAAATGAAATTTACCACAGCATGGCAGATGTTGACAGGAAGATACATTATTTTCCATACACATGCTGGGGAAATCGCTTGAAATGCCTGCCAAATTGTTTCTAGCTGGAGCATTCTTGAGCGAAGATGCAGATGGATAAGCAAACCCTGACCCAATTTGACAAGTAATTGTCCCAGTGCTTTGAGAGTCTAATACTGTGCCAGAATGAATCAAACCACCACCACCACCACCACCAAAATGCAGCTGAGAAGTACAAGAGGAGTCCGATCCATGAGCACAGCAGCTTACTTTGGGGCTAGGTGAAAGCTGTATTTGCTGTTGTTGAAGAGAACGAACATCAGGAAGTGGTACTGCTGGAAATAGTTTAGAGCCAGTGTGAAGAGGAGATGAAGCATCCTTCAATTCCACAACAGCTTTCTTGTTCTCCATGTAATCTTTCTGGAAAAAATAAGCCACAGTGTTACATTTATGGGCAAATCTCATAGATGAGCCAGTAGTTTATAATAAAGTTACAATTCCGACAATACAGAAGCCAGGAAATTGTAACAATCAAGAGAACTATCATTAAATTGGCCACATGTACTGAAATCTATACCATTTATATCTACGTTGTATACACAAAACAAATGGGATGAATACTATATACCAATACTATAGATCAAAAAACAGTGGCTCAAGGCAGCTACTATGTTGGAGATGGAAAAAAGAGTTAAGACAAATATGACATATTCTGAAATAGCAAAGTAAGCAGGCAAGTAGTGTTATAAAGCTATTCATCCACTTCTGTAATAATAACTTCTAGCTGACTGGAACATAGAGTCACATTATTGGATTTTCATAGGAAAATGCAGATCATTGTTGCACCCACTGTTGTGTTAGCCCACTTTGCAGAAAAGTTTGGGCAATGTGAGGCATCTAATGAAAGTTTAAACTATGCTGATACTTTGTGCTACTCATATGTATGTATGATTTTTTAATGTAAAGTTATGAATATGGGCTCTGTACTTGTATTTTAAATCTTTTCTGTCTGGGAGACAGCAGCAGGTGTGAACCACCCATTGTGGGAGGTGATTACTCGGTGAATGGGCATTCTGCATGGACAATGGCTCTTAAGTGTTGCCTATCAACACCTGAGGAATTCTGATGCAAAAACCTGCACACCAGCAGGTACATCATGGCTGCTTGCCTAAAAGGACAGGTTAAATGATCATGTGAGCAGCTTCATTTTGGGAGATACCATTGCTCAGGAGAACAATGGATTTCCCTCCGCATGGGCAAGATTATAGAGAATCCTGGGGCTTCCTCCATCTTTGTCTTCACTCTTGCTCTGTGCACCAGAAGCACCTTTGCTAAGGAGAGAGAGCTGGGCAGGAGTATTGATCCATCCTACAATAGGATGTACTCCAGAAACTTTTAAGCTAGCAGGTCATTACATCTCTGCCAAGAGCCTGTATCAAGGACTTGGTGACTGATGTATGTAAATGTACCTTCTTTAACAATCCTACTCTCAATCTTTTCTTTCATTTTATTAATAAAACTTTAGATTTTACATTCTAAAGCAGGGGTCAGCAACCTTTCAGAATTGGCTTACCGAGATTTAACGTATTCACTTCTACGTACAGGTTTGCGTGCCGTTGATTTTTTTTAAGGTCAATTATAGTCTTTCCCCACCTACCCTTGAGCAATCTGCTCCCCCAAGCCCAGGTGGGGGCTGAATAAAATCCTGCTTCTCAAAGTAGCAGGCATCAGCAGTCTGCCCTGTTCTAACTCCCAGCTATAGCAAAAACAAATTACCCACACCTCCCCCACCACACAGCACAAATTACTTCTCTGCCTCCATCTCACCCCCATGCCAACACCAACCCAACCCCTTTCCTACACTTACCCCATGCAGTCAGCCCCTTTCCAGGAAGCTTGAGAGTGCTGAGTTTCTGCCTCTCTCTCCCATACACACGGGATTCTCCAAACTTCCCTCACAATTACCCACTCACCCAATCCTTCACTCCTCCTCCCACTGTCTAGCCACTTATTCTCTCCTTATTTTGCTTTTTATTACAGGATATCCCCTGTGTAAGCGGCTCCAGTATACATCCATTCTGCTCTGAAGTCCTTGGCGCTTGTAGGAACTGATGTGTTGTAAGTCCTCCCATTCCCTGCTCTTAAGTTGCTTAACAAAAACCAAAGCAAAAGCCAAACAAAACCCAAATAAAACAAAAAAAAAAAAAACCATACAACAAATTTGCGCAAATGGAAGTCAGCCACGGGAAAAAAACTCCCCACTTAAAGTTGTTTCGCCTAAGTCCACATTTTTTTGAATGTATTTTAGACTTATAGCGAGTACAGCCTTTCCCTGCTCTAGGAGCAGCTCTGTTTCAAGCACAGAGCTGCTCGTTCAGCAAGACAATGCCCCATCCCCCCGCTGATCAGCTGAGCTCCCTGACTGCACGGGAGATTTCAACATCTGTGCAGAGCTTAGAAAACAGCTGCACAGTCACAGACCCATGCAGGTTAGAAGGAACTATGGTCCCCTGAGCCTGCAGCCCCTCCCCGCTGCTGGTTCTTTCAGCTCCACAGCTGGTTCGGCGACACAGCTGCCCCGGCCCTGTTGCCATAACTGCTGCTCCAGTCAGCATGGCAGCCCCAGATGGATTGCTGCAGCCCTGGCTCTGCTGGCACAGCCCCAAATGGCTTCCACCGTGGGACTGCCGCAGCTCTGTCCCCACTCCTGGGCAGGCACTCAGGCCCCATCAGGCTGCCACAGCACAAACACACTGCAAAGCCAGCCCACACGGGCTGCCCGCGCCCCAGCTGGATTGCCAGGCTGCCTCTGCTCCACTACCATGGCTCCGCTACTGGAGGAGCAGCCATGTGGCCAAAGCCACAACCACAGCCACCCAGGAGCAGTGCCCACCCCGGTCCTGCTGCCAGAGGAGCAGCCCACGTGGCCCAAGCCCTGACCCCTGCAGGAGTTTATCCAGTTGAGTCCCCACAACCATCACCATCAGCTTCCACTGGCTCACTGTTGCAAGAGAGTTGGATGGGTGGAGAAGGGGAAGAGCACCGGCTGCTGGCGCACAGCCCAATTTGCAGCCTCTCTGCCTGCCCCCCTGGAATTGGTGCTGCAGCTATGCCGGCCACGAGGCTCAAGCAACAGCATAGGCTCCCTGCTGTGCAGGCGAGGAGCAGAGCTGAGCTCCTGCCCTGTATGCCACTGAAAATCAGCTTGCATGCCACTTATGGCACGTGTCCCATAGGTTGCTGACCCCTGTTCTAAAAGATTGGCACAGCATGCTCTTTTGGGTAAGATCTGAAGGATAAATTGACCTGGGACCATGGCTGGTCCTTTGGGACCAGGAGAACCTGTTCGGATTTGATGAGATTGGTTTTCATAACCTCTCACCTGTGGGAGGAGCAGTGCTGGTTGTGATATAGGTAACGCTGGAGAGTCTAAGATGTCTGCTTGTGTAACTTCATGCTGGTTAGATTGGTATTTGAAGTGTACTTTGTGACTGGTCTGGTGCCTTAGAGAGGAGGGCCCCCAATTTTGGGCTGTAAGCAACCCAGGTTCTAACAATTGACCCTGATTTGACCCTCACAGCAGGGTCGTCAAACCACCTGGTATATTGGTGGCACTTTCTGCAATCTATGCAATTTATATATGATTTGTATACACAAAACAAATGGGATGAACATTTTGGAAGATTCTGGGGGGGAAATATCAAGATTATAGATCAAAAACACAGTGGGTGAGGCAGCTACTATGTTGGAGGCGGAGAAAAAAATTAAGACAGTTATTACAGATAGTCTGAAATTGCAAAGCAAGCATACAAGTAGTGTTATAAAGCTATTCAGTCACTTCTGTAATAGTAAATTCTAGCTCACTGGAATGTAGAGTAACAAAGAATTGATATAGATAACAGAAACATATATAATTTACTTAGGCTTCGGATCAAATCCCTCTGAAAAGGCTATTAAAGAAGACAGGTAGCCATGAGGTGAAAGATGAATACCTTAAAAGGACAAAAACAGATAGAAGACAAAGTATGAACGCAAACAAGACAAGGCAGCAATTTTCAACAGAAAAATGTTGACTGTGGTAGTATTTATAAGACTGATGTTTGGTACACTTGACAACATTATGGAAGTGGTGGGGATGAACAGTAGTTCTATATCCCAAGCCACTACACAAGCTGCATAATACAGGATAGACAGACAGACATGAAGAAGTGGGTTTTGCCCACAGAAAGCTCCTGATAATATATAGTACTTATTTAAGTATTTATTTTTTTGGTTAGCTTCTAAGGTGCCACAGGACTACTCATTGTTATCACATGTTCAGATTAGCCAAGACTGGATAACATGAGGAGCTCCACAAGAGATAATCAAAATCAGCAGCCATTGACTCCAAGGTGATCAGCTGAATATTCCTACTTACTGTTTCCAATAATACAAGAGCTAGATTTTTAAAAAAAGACAAAAAAAAAAGTACTACAAATAAAAGGTAGTATACTTGCATGCAACATATTGTGGGACTCATTTACTTCTAGAGATGTTATATATCAGTTAACTGAAGTCAATTAACCTCACGAACTCTGCATAATACTGTACAATTTTGTGCACTCATCTGTTCCAGTGTAACAGTTATGTTCTTAGTATACCAAAAAATTACCGGTTTTGCACTGAAAGGCAAAGTCTGTTCAGCAGCAGAAAAGCAATTAGAGAATTTCCAGAGCCATGGCTTAGCATCATTATCTGGTTGTTGAAGCCATCCAAATGATCTACTGCAGAGATTCTCTGTTCTGTTTCCTTCCATCGTACAGCCATACAGAACAGTTCAACATTCTTTCGTCCCACCTTTCTTTCATTCTTCCCACCTGTTAAAGATGTGCATATTTTAAAAATTAATATTTTAAAACAATAAAGCCATGCTTTTGTCTGGACTGTGAACTGCAAAGTTGAAGTCAATGATCCTCATCTGCATTCAATGTAATAAAGTGACTTGGGAACCCAAAGCACTGGTAAGTGAATGGAAATGTTGCTTATATTCATGGTGGTTTCTATAAATACACACAACCATTTCAGCAATGGATATCTAGCAGCAATCTGAACAAATAATGCTGCAACAGCCCTATGTGGGTCTATTATTTGAGTCTTGCTCCTGTCCCACAATACCATCTTCTACTTGCTCCTACATTACTATCTGCATTTTTATCTGGCTCCCACCCACAAAACAACTTATATCCCACAAATCCCACTAGAGAGAGATTCTTCCAACTCCCTACTTAACAAAAAGAAAAAAGGGTTGGTTTTTTATTACATTGTAATAAAAATGGTTTCTGAATCACACACATACGTACTTGGTGTTGCTTGGGTGCTTACCTTTTTTTTGGAGGGGGGATGCAGGAGTGTGGACAGGGGGTTGGGAGTTATAGGGGGACTCAGGGCAAAGAGATCTGTGTAGGCTCACCCGGACCACCTATGGTGGTGAGGGCCACCTGGGGCCGGTGGCAACAGCTGCCCGTGGCATCCGCGGAGATGGGGGCTGTGCTGCCTGACCATCCCCTCCCCTTGCCTGGCACTGAGGCAGAGAGACGAGGCAGTGGCTTGGGCTCCCCCTATGGGAATCGGGGAGGGGAAGTGATGTGGCTGCCCCCTGTGGTCACTCTATAACTGTCCCTCCTAGCAAACCCTTCCCTTTCTGTGTTATGGAAAACAATCCCATTCCAACATGTCCTATTTTCCCAGTGCAACCAAACCCTGACCTTGCTTTAAGTTAGGATAAGAGGAAGCTGCATACCAAATGTGGTGGTCCTAGCTCTTACCATCTAGGAGTTTTTAAACAGACTCACAGACAGATTGATGCACATTTCTAAAATCTATGCATAGATTATTCAGAAACAATTTTTTACCACTACAAAAATAAAACAAATCTTGCTTTAAAAGATCACATACAAATATTTTAATTCTGGTTATAAACCATTGTTGCTGTTGTTTTTTTAAGAAAACCTTGTTTTATGCTGCTGAATTAGATTTGTGGCAAACTAAGAAACATTGTTTTACTACATATTACCACAGTCTGGGGGTTTTGTTTGTTTTGCCTAACCAATTCTGCCAGCAGCAAAGTACATTTTACCCACTCCCACTATTACGGCAGTGGGTCCTTTAAGACCTACAAGATTCCAGTCCTGCCCTAATTGCTGTCCACCTAAACCATAATCCAGGAGCTAAAGTTTCAAGACAAAAAGTCCAACATGGGAGTGCAAAGTGAGTACAATCTAAGAAAAAAATTGAATGAATACAAAGCCATGAATATGTATTTATCACCATTTTTCATTGCACATACAACTTACTCCGGATTTATACAGATCTTTACCTAATGAAAGCTCTTTTATTTCACAAGAGTCACAGAGAAACTAAACAATTTATCCAAGTCCTCACAACCAATTACTAGAAGAGCTAATGATTAGAAATGCAGACTTCCTCATTTCCACACCAGGACACCTCATTTCCACACCATTCCGAGACCAAGCTGCCTCTGCCCTTCAGTTACATTTATGAAAGCTTAGCCTTGAATGGGAGAACTGGCATTTACTCGAGGTTAAAGTTACTCAGAATTAATGATCAACTATATGAATTTATAGTCTGATGTGTCCTGTTCAAAATTAGATCAAGTTCATTAAAATCTTGAAACTCAAGAGTCAAGTTACTTTTAAAAGGACATTTGTCTTTTAAAAGTTATGAAATAAATGCCTTTATCTCTTTTCATAACATTAAAATAAGGATATTAAAGTTTAATTTCTTTTCATTTTTATTCTGTTTCCTCTTCCTTTCCCCTTCCCCTGTTCCACTTTATTTAACAGCGATTCTCCAGGCACTTTCTCTTTAGGGTTCATGCCCTAAACGCTACAATTTCAAACGATAAACGGGAAGCGAACATCTAAACCTGGCTCGCTCTTAACTTCTTGAAGAGCAACTCAGAAAAACCGCCGAGGGTTTAGGAAAGGGCCACTGAGCACCGCATGGGCATGTGGCCAGGCGACAAAGGACGAAAACGCACTTTCAAACCAGCGCGGGGACCGCCTGGAACGGGGGGGGGGGGGGGGGAGGGGG